ATATATATGTATATATATACACATACACATACAAATGCATTTAATCTTTAAAACAAACCAAATGATGTTAATTCTGTTATTATACCCTTTTTACTAATAAGGAAAGTGAAACAAAATGATATTTATAAACTTGCTGCAAGTCACATATCTTGGAATTAAATGGCAAATCTGCCTGTACTCTTTACCAAAATGCTATATATTAAGTCAAAAGGACAGTCTTTACTTCGATTGCTTATGCTCATACCTAAGCTTTCCTTTCTCCCCTTATAGGAAAAGAAACAAACAAAGGAAATAAAAAAAAAAAGGTCTGTGAAACAGGATCATAATACATCAGAACTGGAATAATAGAAATTCTGTATATCTCTTTTACAGATGGTGAACTAAGGCCCTGAAGAATAAAGTGTCCCAACCAAGGTCATACCATGGTGAGAAGCCATAAATCATCAAGTTATAAGAATGTTCCCTCACTGCCCCAGTTTTAATTGCCTTTATAGCTCTTAGTAGTATACAGACTAGATTTCTGCCTTAGAGTCCTTCCTAGTTTCAGTAAATGTCACTTCTAGATAGCTGAAGAAGTCATCTCTTTTGACTCAAGTCTTGGGGCTCTAATATTTCCACTGTAGAATATATCTAATATACATCTCATTAAGCTGCCATCTCTCTAAAACTGGCAACAAAAAGCTATAGATGTACCACTAGAACTATGAGGGTTGATAAGTTAAAAGTAGTCACTCTAGGGACTTACCTAAGGTATCAAAATATTATATGGAAAAGATACATTGTTAAAAAAGTAAAAGGCTTCCAACCCCCAGGAAACATTATAATATATTGAAAGTGAATCTTAATGTATGCAAAAAATGTTAAAAATGAAACAAAGAAATAATTAAATGGAAAGATATCCCATGTTCCTGGATAGAAAAACTCAATACCGTCAAGATGTCAGTTCTTCTCATCTTAATCTACAGGTTCAATCAATGCCAAACAAAATCCCACAAAGTAATTTTGTGCATATTGAAAAAATGATTCTAAAGTTTATATGGAAAGGCAAAAGACCCAAAATATCTAACACAATATTGAAGAACAAGTCAGAAGACTGACATTAACTGGCTTCAAAACATATTATAAAGCAATAGTAAACAAGACAGTGTGATATTGGCAAAAGATTAGACAAGTAGATCAATGGAACCTGATAGAAAGATGAGAAATAGACCCACATAAATATAGTCAATTGATCTTCGGCAAGGGAGCAAAGGCAAAACAATAGAGGGAGGAAAACTAGTTTTTTCAACAAATAGTGCTGGAACACCTGGACATTTGCATGCAAAGAAAAATGAATCCAGACATAGACCTTAAACCCTTCATAAAAATTAACTAAAAATGGCTCATAAACCTTAATGTAAAATGTAAAACTATAAAACTCCTAGAAGATAACATAGGAGAAGACTTAGATAATTTTGGGTATGGCAATGACTTTTTAGATGCAAAACAAAAAGCACAATCCATGAAAGAATAAATTTATAGGCTAGATTTCTTGAAAATTAAAAACTTCTCCTCTGTGAAAGACACCATCTAGAGAATGATAACACAAGCCATAGACTGGGAGGAAGAAAAAATTCAAAAGTCATATCTGATAAATGACTATAATCTAAAATATAAAAAGAACACTTAAATCCCAATAATAAGAAAATGAACAACTTGATTAACAAATGGGCCAAATAATTAAACAGACACTTTATCAAATAAAATATACAGATGGTGAATAAGCATGAAAAGATGCTTATGAAAAGATGCTTCACATGATATATTATAAGGAGTTACAAATCAAAACAATGAAACACCACTATACACATTATTAAAATGGCCAAAATCCAAATTACAAACACCACCAAATGCTGGTGAGGATAAGGAGCAAAATGAACTCTCCTGCATCGCCGATGGGAATATAAAATGGTACAGCTACTTTGGAAGACAGTTTTTCAGTTCTTACAAAATAAACATGCTTTTACCATATTAGGCAACAACTATACTCCTTTGTATTTACCCACACAAGTTGAAAATTTATATCCACATACAAAAATCACACATAAATGTTTATAAAAGCTTTATTCATGATTTCTTGCAGGTCAGCCATGTGGTTGGAAATGTAAAGATTTTATTCTTTTTTTCTGGCTGAAGAATATTCCATTCTGTATATATACTACATTTTCTTTATCCATTCATCCATCCGTTGTTGGACATTTGGTTTGGCTATTATAAATTATATATCTTGTGTTATTGTAAATACTACTGAAATAAACATGAAAGTGCAGATATCTCTTCAACATATGCGTATCACTTTCTTTAGATTTATATCTAGTAGTGGGATTCTTGGCTCATACAGGAATTTTATTTTTAATTGTTTGAGGAATATCCATACTGTTGTACACGGGGCTATACTAATTTACAACCCCACTAAATGTGTAAGTGTTTACTTTTCTCCACATTCTTCCCAACACTCACTTTCTTTTATCTTTTTGATGATAGCCATTCTAACTGGAGTGAGGTTGTATCTCCATGTGGTTTTGATTTGCATATCCATGATGATTAGTGATGTTGAGCATTGCTCATGCATCTGTTGGCCATTTTTATGTCTTCTTTTGAGTAATGTCTATTAAGAACTTTTACCCATTTTTAAATCAGGCTGTTTTGTTATTGGGTTATTTAAATTCTCTAAATATAAAGGATATTAATCTATTATCAGATGTGTAGTTTTCATGTGTTCTCCATTTCTATAGGTTATCTCTTCACTTTGTTAATTGTTTCCTGTCATGTACCAAGCTTTTCAATTTTATGTAATCCCATTAGTCCTGTGGCCCCCAATACCAGGCTGCAGCCCAGTATGAGTCTGTGGCCTGTTAGAAAACAAGCTGTGTATCACTGCATGAGCTCCACACCCACCACCACACACCACGAGCACCACAACACCCCACCCCCTGACCCTCAGTCTGTGGAAAAACTGTCTTCCATGACACTAGTCCCTGGTAGGCTGGGACCACTACCAATTAGTTTATTATTGCTTTTGTTGTCTGTGCTTTTGAGGTCTTATTTTAAAAATCTTTGCCCAGCCCAATGTCATAAAGCATTTCTCCTATGTTTTCTTCTAGTATTTTCATAGTTTTAAGTTTTATATTTAGGCCTTCAATCCATTTTTATATAATTTTTGTCTATGGTGAGAGGTAGGGTTGTAGTTATATTCTTCAGCATGTGGCTATCCAATTTTCCCAGGACCAGTTATTGAAGAGATGCTTTTTTTCCCTATGTGCATTCTTGGCATCTGTGTTAGAAACCCATTTGCCACAGATATGTGAATTTATTTCTGGACTCTCTCTTCTGTTCCATTGGTCTTTATGTCTGTTTTATGCAAGTCCCATACTGTTTTGGTTATAACAATATTGTAGTATGCTTTGAAGTCAGGTAGTTTGATGCCTCCAACTTTGTTCTATTTGCTCAGGAGTGCTTTTTATTTCTGAGATATTTTGGCTTTCCATATAAGTTTTAAGATTTATTTTTCTATTTCTGTGAAAAATGTTATTAGTATTTTGATACGGATTGCATTAAACCTATGGATTGATTTGGGTAGTAACATCATTTTAACAATCTTAATTCTTCCAATTCATGGACACAGGATATCTTTCCATTTGTTTATGTTTTCTTCAATCTCTTCCATCAGTGCTTTATAGTTTTCAGTGTAGAGATCATTTACCTCCTTAGTTAAGTTTATTCCTAGGTGTCTTTTTTGTGGCTATTATAAATGGAATTGTTTTCTTGATTTCTTTTTCAGATAGTTTGCTATTAGCATATAGAAACACTACTGACTTTTATATGTTGATTTTGTATCCTGTGATTTTACTTAATTTGTTTATTAGCAGGAACAGCTTTTTCATGGATTCTTTAGGGCATTCTATATACAAGAACATGTCATCTGCAAACAGGGACAATTTGACTTCCTACTTTCAATTTGGATCCCTTTTATTTCTTTCTCTTGCCTGATTGCTCTGAGTAATACTTCTAATACTATGTTGAATAGGAGTGGTAAAAGTGGGCATCTTTATCTTGTTCCTGATCTTACAGGAAAAGCTTTCAGCTTTTTCTCATTTAGTATGACGTTATCTGTGGATGTGTCATATATGGCCTTTATTGTGTTGAGGTACATACTTTCTGTATCTAACTGTTGAGAGTTTTTACCATGAAAGGAGGTTGAATTTTGTCAAATGCTTTTTCTGCATCTTTGGAAATGATCATATGGTTTTTATGTTTCTTTTCATTAATATGGGTATCCCATTTATTGATTTACATATGTTGAATCATCCTTGTTCCCCTAAGATGAATCCCACTTGATCATAGTGCATGATGTTTTTAGTGTGCTGTTGAATTCAGTTCTTGTATCTTGTATTCTAGTATCTTGTAGAGAATTTTTGTATCTATGCTCACCAGAGATACTGGTCTGTCATTTGGGGGGTTTTTTTGTGTGTGTGTATCCTTGTTTGATTTTAGAATCAGGATAATGATGACCTTGCAAAATGAGTTTGAAAGTATTCTTCCTCTTTAATTTCTGTAATAGTCTGAGAATAACTGAAATTAGTTCTTTAAGTGTTTGGTAGAATTCATTAATAAAGTCATCAAGAGCTAGGCTTTTCTTACTGGAGACTTTTTATTACTAATTCAATTTCTTTACTTACTATTGGTCTGTTCAGATTTTCTATTTCTTCATAATTTAATTTTGGTAGATTGTATGTATCCAGGAATATATCCCATTTCTTGTATGCTCTTGAATTTGTTGGCATATAGTTGTTTGTAATAATCTTTTATGATCTTTTGTATTACTGTTATATAAGTTGTAATGTCTTTTTTGCCATCTCTGATTTTATATATCTGGGTCTTTCTCCTTTTTTGTCTATCTAAATGTTTCTCAATTTTGTTAATCTTCTAAAAAAACTAACTCCACATTTTGTTGATTTTTTTTTACATTGCTTTTTAGTCTCTTTTTAATTTATTTCTGTTCATAGCATTATTGTTTCTTTCCTTCTCTCTATTTTGGGTTAAGTTTGTTATTGTGTTTCTTCTTCCCTTGAAGTACATGATTATGTTATCAAAAATACTTCTTCCTTTTTGATGTAGGCATTTATTGCTATGGACTTCCTGCTTAGAACTGCTTTTGCTGAGTACCATAGGTTTTGGTGTAATGTGTTTCCTTTCAAGTTTGTCTCAAGGAGTTTTTTAATATTTCTTTTCGGTTCCATTCACTCTTGGCGCCGTCCGGGGAGGTGTGTTGGAGCCATGGCTTCTGCCAACCCCTGGGACCCGGCATCGGCGCCAAACGGTGCTGGGCTACTGTTGAGCCACTTCGTAGCTTCAGGGATAGTCACTCAGAAAAACCTGGAAATTGAACTCCTGAAACTAGCAAAGGATACAGCAGATATTGTTCATCCTTTCTTTTTGGCTCAGAAGTGTCATACTCTGCAAAGCATGAATAATCATTTGGAAGCAGTGCTAAAAGAGAAGAGGTCCCTCAGGCAAAGACTGTTGAAACCCATGTGCCAGGAAAACTTACCTATTGAAGCTATTTATCACAGATATTTGGTACATTTGTTGGAGTTGGCTGTGACTTTCATTGAGAAATTAGAAAGCCATCTTGAAACAATTAGAAATATCCCTCATTTAAATACAAATCTAAAGAAAATGAGCAAGGCTTTTGCAAAGATGGATGTTTTGGTGACTGAGACAGAAGAACTAGCAGAGAATATACTCAAGTGGCGAAAACAACAAAATGAAGTTTCTTCTTGTATCCCCAAAATATTAGCTGAAGAAAATTATCTTCATAAACATTACATTATTATGCCTCCTTTACCTTTTACTTCTAAAGTTCATGTCTAAACTGTTATTGCCAAGTGATCATCAATTTTATTTTTGCTTAATTATATATAGTCATATATAAAGTCTATTTCTAATTACTTGTGACATATTTTATAGGCTTTGCTGCTAGCAATACTGAAAGAGCCCTCTTTATATTGGAGGATTCAGGTTCATTAAGACCAAAATGACTTTTTCTTTATTTTTCATATATTTTTATTTCACTTTTCAGTAAAGCTACTCAAGACTATATATAATTATGATGATCTATTAACATAAGTGAATTAACCATTTCTTAAGCAGTAAATTCTTTATTGTCTTTTTAAAAAATGCATGTTTCTGAATTAGAAGAGTTTTCTTGAAAAAAAAATATATTTCTTTTCTTCATTGTCCCATTGGTTATTTAGGAGCATGTTGTTTAATTTCCAGATGTTTGTAAGGTTTCCTAAGTATTTCTTATTGTTAATTTTCAGTTTTATAACATTGTGGTCCAAAAAGATACATGATATGATCACTCTCTTCTTAAATTTGTTAATACTTGTTTTTGGCCTAACATATGATCTATCTTGGGGAACGTTCCATGTGCAGTTGAAAAGAATGTGCATTCTGCAGCTGTTGCATAAAATGTTTTGTAAATATCTATTAGGTCCATTTGGTCAATGGTATAGTTTACTGTCATAAGAATCTGCCCATTGTTGAAAGTGGGCTATGAAGTTCCTTACTATTACTGTATTGCAGACTCTCTCTCCTTTAGATCTAATAATCTTTGCTTTAAATATTTAGGTGATCCAGTTTGGGGTACATATATATTTATAATTATTCTATATTATTGTTGAATTTATCCCTTTATCATTATATCCCTTCTTTGTCTCTTTTTACAGTTTTTGACTTAAGGTTGATTTTATTTTATTTAAGTATAGCTACTCCTGCTTGCTTTTGGTTTCCTTTAGCATAAAACATCTTTTTCCATCACTTCACTTTTAGTCTCTTTGTCTTTAATGGTCAGGTGAGTCTTCTGTAGGTAACATATAGTTGGGTCTTCAGACATTCAGCCACTTTGTATCTTTTAATTGGAGAATTTAGTCCAACTACAGTCAAGGTTACCACTGATAGGTAAGCACTTAGTCCTGCCATTTTGTTAATTGCTTCCTGTTTGTTTTATAAATCCTTTGGTCCCTTCTTCTTCTCCTGTTGTTTAACTTTGTAGTTTGGTGGTTTTCTGTGATGCAAAGCTTTGTTTCCTTTTTTTCTGGTGAATTTACTATAAATTCTTTTTTTGTGGTTACCATTGGACTAACATAAAGAGTCTTGTAGTTGTAATAGATTATTTTAAAATGATAAGAACTTAACTTTGGTCACATAAAAATACGCTAGACTTTTTTCTCTCTGCTTCCTCCATTTGTATTTTGGTTGCTTTAATTCAAATTATTATCTTTTGTGGGTTTCTCATAAAGTCACTCTTTATAGCTATTGATGTTTTTGACCTTTTTGATTTTAAACATTTCAAATAAGAAAATTGAGGGATTTACATAGCACCATTACACAAGGATATTTTGAGTATGACTATGGGTTTACCTATATTACCTATACTGGTGAGTTTTGTATTTTCACATGCTTTCATGATATTAATTATTGTCCTTTCATTGCACCTTTCGTTTTCACTACTTTAAGCATTTCTTCTAAGGTTAGTCTTGAAGCAATGAATTTTCTCAGCTTTTGCTTGCTTGGGAAGGTCTTTATTTCGCCTTCATTTCTGAAAGACAGCTTTGCCAGATATGGTATTCTTTTTTTTTTTTTTTTTTTTTTTGCGACAGAGTCTCACTTTGTTGCCCAGGCTAGAGTGAGTGCCATGGCGTCAGCCTAGCTCACAGCAACCTCAATCTCCGGGGCTCAGCGATCCTCCTGCCTCAGCCTCCCGAGTAGCTGGGACTACAGGCATGCGCCACCATGCCCGGCCAATTTTTTGTATATATATTTTTAGTTGGTCAATTAATTTATTTCTATTTTTGGTAGAGACGGGGTCTCGCTCAGGCTGGTTTCGAACTCCTGACCTTGAGCAATCCGCCCGCCTCGGCCTCCCAAAGTGCTAGGATTACAGGCGTGAGCCACCACGCCCGGCCTCAGATATGGTATTCTTAGCTTATGTTTTTGTTTTTGTTTTCTGTTAGCATTTTAAGTATATCATCCCATTCTCTCCCAGGTGGCAAGAATTCTGTTAAGAAATATGCTGATAGCCTAATGGAGATCCCTTATATGGAACTTGACTTTTTCTCTTGCAGCTTTTAGATTTTCTTTTTGTCTTTGACTTTTGACACTTTGATTATAATGTACTTCAAAGAGGATTTTTTGGATTGCGTATCACTGGGGACCTTTGAGCCTCCTCGATATGAATTTCCGTACCTCTCATAAAGCTTGAGAAGTTTTTAGCTATTACAGTATTAAATAGGTTTCCTTTGCCCTTCTCCCTTTCTGTTTTCTCTGGCATTCCTTTAATGTAAATATTTATTTCTATAATTGTGTCCTATAAGCCCTGTGAGCTTTTTTTTCATTCTTTTTATTATTTCTTTTTTTTCCCTCTGAGTTATTTCAAAAGACATGTTTTCAAGTTCAAAAATTCCTTCTTCTGTTTGATCTTGTATGTTGTTGAAGGGGTCAATTATATTTTTTATTTCATTCATTGAATTCTTCATCTCTAAGATACCTGTTTAGCTCTTTTTTATGATACCTATTTGTTGAATTTCTCATTCATATCATGAAATATTTTTATTTTATTGAATTGTTTGTCTTTATACTTGTATCTCATTGCGTTTCCTTGAGATTTTTATTTTGAATTACTTTTCAGGACTCTAATAAATATTCTTTTCTTTAATATCTGTTACTAGAGACTTATTATATTCCTTTGGGGGTATCATGTTTCCTTGCTTTTTCATGTTTCTTGTGTCCTATGTTGATATCTGAACATCTAGTGGGACAGTTGCTTTTCATAATTTTATAGAGTAGATTTTATACAAATTAGCTTTTTCCTATAGGTCCTAAGCTGTCATTGGGACTGGTGCATTGACTTTGGTTCTAAGTGGACTCAACAGTGCAGTCTCTATAACAGATTCTTGAGCTGTAACCCTCATCTGTGATTATTGCAGTGGCCTATGCTGTAGGAGTTTGTGACTATGGTGATGTGGTTTTGCTGGGGACAGGGTTGGTTGTTGGCCAGGCACAGCTGGTGGGCAAGTTGTATGGCAGGCTCTCTGGAATGGCAGGGCCACCATCAGGCTGGATGTCAGGCTGGCTATCAGGCTGGGGGAACACACATCACACATGCAGATTGAACGGCTGTGTGCAAACCTCTACAGTGGGATAGTGCAGCTCTAGGCCTGCTGTTGGGCCAGGGATAGGTGTTTGCTGGCCTAGTGGCTGCATGCAATCCTCTCCAATGGGTCAGTGTCACCTCTGGGCCATCTGTTAGGCAAAGGTTAATGAATATAGGCCCAATAGCTAAGCAAGGCTTCCCTACTGTGCATGCCTGCCTGTTTCCCTGAGTGATAGGGTGCCTCTTAGATCTGGACATCAGAATCTCAGTTGTTCCTTTGGGCCTAGGCTCCAGGCAGCTGGGTATTAGTACTGTAGGCACCCAAGTGAACTTAGTAAAATAAATGTGGAGCCTCAGCAATGGAGAGGTTTGGTGGCTACTGGCCCCCAGGGCAGAATGCACTCCAAATGTAGGTCCAGTTCGAAGACAGTGCCATACAAAAGCTGTTTATGAAGCAGGGGTGGGGAGTTCAATGGATTTCTGCTCTGGGGGAATGCAACTGGGTGAACTCTTGGCAACTGTCCACACCAGACTCAGAGGCTATGAGGACCTAGAGACCCTTCTGTCACATTAACTTCTGGTGTCTGTGATGGTAATAGGGACCTCTGAGTATCTTCAGCTTACCTTTTCCATGTAAGTAAAAATGTCCTCTGGCTGTGAGGGTACTATAATTTTATAAAAGGTCTGGTGCTGGGGCAGGAAACAATGTGACTATAGCAGGATGCCTCGCTACCCTCTCTACAGAGCTATCCTGGGCTTCTGTGCTCCACAAGGGTTTCTCTGTCCCCTTAGTGCTGGTATCCCCCAGCACACTTCCTTAGTCAATCCAGTTGAAATACAGTTATTTATTCATTGTTTTCATTCCTTTTCTTGGGGAAAGTTGAGAGTCAGGCAACTCTAGTTAGCTATCTTCCTGACATCACTCCTCAGAAATCATTTTTAAAAATTAAGAGAGGCAACTAGACTTTCTCAGTTCTAAAATTTTGTTATTCTATCTTAATGGAAAAAATATATTTTCTTCTCTGTGTTTGACTTAGTTTTCTACCATGACTGAAGGAATTCTATAGTCATAGCCTATGTGAGCTGCTTATTCATCTTATTATAAGTAAAGACATGTTACACTCAAAACCTAGAATGAATGAGGAAAGATGCGAAGAAATAGAATTCTCATTAACTATTGGTAGGAATATATACTGATAGTATCTTTCCTGAGAGTCAATTGACAAAATGTAAATATATATAAACCCTTTGACTCAGCAACCCTACTTCTAGGAATGTACCCTAAGGAGACAAGTACACAAGGGTAAATGCACAAAAAATTCATTAAAATAACTTTTATAATAGTAATGAATTAGAAATAGCCTAAATGTTATTGAATAGGAAACTAGTTTAGTACTTTATGGCATATACATATGATGTAATAAGATATCACCATTAAAAATGAAAAATAATATCAGTAACTATAGAAATGGAAATATCTATAAGATAATATAGAGTGAGGGAAAAAACAGCTTAAGACAAAGTAAAAGGGTAATATAACATAATTCCAGATCCCTGGCTCTGGAATCAGACAGCCCAAGTTTTAATCCATAATCTTCCACTTACTAGTTCAGGGACATTGAGCAAGTCACTTAATTATCTCAGGGCTCACTATCCTCATCTATAAAATGGAGGTAATGGTATCTACCTCATAAGATTGCTGTAAATATTAGATAGGATAATGTAGGGAAGTCAGATTTCTATATGTCTATATTACAATAATTGTTCACTAATTTTAAATTTACTAATTATT